TCCACGCCTTCTATAGACCCTTGAAAAACTATTTAAAAAATCCACGCCTTCTAAAAACCCTTGAAAAACTATTCTTTAAAAAATCCACGCCTTTATAGACCCTTGAAAAACTATTCTTTAAAAAATCCACGCCTTCTATAGACCCTTGAAAAACTATTCTTTAAAAAATCCACGCCTTCTATAGACCCTTGAAAAAATATTCTTCATAAAATCCACGCCTTCTATAGACCCTTGAAAAAATATTCTTTAAAAAATCCACGCCTTCTATAGACCCTTGAAAAAATATTCTTTAAAAAATCCACGCCTTCTATAGACCCTTGAAAAACTAGTTAAAAAATCCACGCCTTCTATAGACCCTTGAAAAACTATTTAAAAAATCCACGCCTTCTAAAAACCCTTGAAAAACTATTCTTTAAAAAATCCACGCCTTTATAGACCCTTGAAAAACTATTCTTTAAAAAATCCACGCCTTCTATAGACCCTTGAAAAAATATTCTTCATAAAATCCACGCCTTCTATAGACCCTTGAAAAACTATTCTTTAAAAAATCCACGCCTTCTAAAGACCCTTGAAAATCTATTCTTTACAAAATCCACGCCTTCTATAGACCCTTGAAAAAATATTCTTTAAAAAATCCACGCCTTCTATAGACCCTTGAAAAACTATTCTTTCAAAAATCCACGCCTTCTATAGACCCTTGAAAAAATATTCTTTAAAAAATCCACGCCTTCTATAGACCCTTGAAAAACTATTCTTTCAAAAATCCACGCTTTCTATAGACTCTTGAAAAAATATTCTTTAAAAAATCCACGCCTTCTATAGACCCTTGAAAAAATATTCTTTAAAAAATCCACGCCTTCTATAGACCCTTGAAAAAATATTCTTTAAAAAATCCACGCCTTCTATAGACCCTTGAAAAACTATTCTTTCAAAAATCCACGCTTTCTATAGACTCTTGAAAAAATATTCTTTAAAAAATCCACGCCTTCTATAGACCCTTGAAAAAATATTCTTTAAAAAATCCACGCCTTCTATAGACCCTTGAAAAACTAGTTAAAAAATCCACGCCTTCTATAGACCCTTGAAAAACTATTTAAAAAATCCACGCCTTCTAAAAACCCTTGAAAAACTATTCTTTAAAAAAGCCACGCCAGTATAGACCCTTGAAAAACTATTCTTTAAAAAATCCACGCCTTCTATAGACCCTTGAAAAACTATTCTTTAAAAAATCCACGCCTTCTATAGACCCTTGAAAAAATATTCTTCATAAAATCCACGCCTTCTATAGACCCTTGAAAAAATATTCTTTAAAAAATCCACGCCTTCTATAGACCCTTGAAAAAATATTCTTTAAAAAATCCACGCCTTCTATAGACCCTTGAAAAAATATTCTTTAAAAAATCCACGCCTTCTATAGACCCTTGAAAAAATATTCTTCATAAAATCCACGCCTTCTATAGACCCTTGAAAAAATATTCTTTAAAAAATCCACGCCTTCAGTATAGGCCTTGAAAAAATATTCTTTAAAAATCCACGCCTTCCGTATAGGCCTTGAAAAAATATTCTTCAAAAAAACATTCTTTCAGTAATTTGTGACTCCAATTATTCCATTTTAATTCATTATCCTTTTGAGCATCCTTATTGTTCCATTTAAAATGACTTCTGTGCATATGACACATCCACGTACCCAGTGACCTTTATTGGCAAAAAAAACTCCTCCCTATCTGTGCTTAATTAACTTAACACGTATCTCTCCAGTTTTCCTCAAAAGAACCTACCCGAAAACATTTCAATTAAGCATGCTTCGCATTTCAGCTGCCAAGCAGGTCCTTTCTACTATCTGCCAACAATATCCAATGAGTGTCAGTAGCACGTCCTCGTATCTTCGTTTCTGTGCAGTATGTGTGTGTGTGCGAGTTCGTGTGTAACACGACTATGACGGCAACAAAAAAGAAGGAGAAGAAGAATTATGCGTTTCAAGTGTATGAATAATGTGAGACCTGCATTTCCGGTTGTTAACACAATTTCCGTTCGTTTTGTTGTTGTTGTTTTTGTAACACAAGGAAATGAAATATTAAAACAAAAAAAAAAACAAAAACAAAAAGAAGCAAGACCAACAACAAAACGCCGAGGAAGGAAATATTAGCTGTTATGCTAATTTATAACACTGACAACAGCTCAAAAACAATGGCAGCAACGAAGAATGCCAGGACATGCGGAAATAAAACAAAAAAGACGGCAATAACAACAAAGCAAAAAACACTGGAAAGCGTAACGAAAGGAATAACGTATTGCCGCTGTATTTAAATATTAACTCAAGGATTTTAACGTTTTTAGAAGCTATACTAACTAACCGTCAGCACGTGGAAGCAAATGCCGCAGAAGGTGAATGAGGGGGGAGGGGGGAGCTGATGATGCTACAGAGGTGTTGAATGCTGCTCAAACATGTTTAATGTTCAAAGGAAACGAAAAGTGAAATATTATGGCTATGATGGTGTCTCAACGTAGGAGGAGGACAGGAAATATAAAAATACGGAAAATTACTCCGGAACATGGTTACCAGGACAACTTAGAGGAAGGAGCTTCTTGCACTCTTTCATGGACAGAGGGAAGGAGGCAAATGAGTAATTGGAAAGCTGTAGTCCTCGCTTTGGTTTTTGTTGTGTGTGTGTGTTTTTTTATTTAGCACTACCACCACCACCACCATCGTCGTTAATATGTATGTAACAAAATATTACTCGGAGGATATTTTATGACATTATTAATGATGTTTTGTTGTGGTGGTAGTTGTTGTTGTCGTACCAAATTGTGTATGTGCATAATTATGTTAGAGTGGCGAATGGAAGACCTACTGGTTTCCTTGATAGTCATGTAACAGAGAACAAACAATATTATTGCCTCCTAAATGACTTGGCTGAATTATGGTCTATGGAATCTTAAGGGCGAGGGGGATGGGGGTGCTAAATTGTAAGTAGCCAAAAGCCAGGTCAATTTTATGGGTTTTGAAATTTGGTTTCTTTTTTTTTATTATTTATGACTTGGGTGTTAAAACACTAAGGCCATTTAATTACCTACTACTTCTAATAAATAATGTGACTTGTGGTCCAAGGTATTTTGATTATAATTTTTATTTTTATTAATAATAATAAAAAGTCATTAAATAGCCTTGTTTATTAGAGGTTGGGTAATTTATGAAATAAATTACATTAACATTAGAATCATTTTTCAACATCCAGCAGAGCGGAATATTTTTTTCGTAGGTGTAGATGTTTTAAAGAAAATTTTTTCAAGCCTCCACACAAGGCGTGGATTTTTTAAAGAATATTTTTTCAAGGCCTATACAGAAGAAGAAGGCGTGGATTTTTTAAAGAATTTTTTTAAGGGTCTATAAAAGGCGTGGATTTTTTAAAGAATTTTTTTAAGGGTCAATAAAAGGCGTGGATTTTTTAAAGAATTTTTTTAAGGGTCTATAAAAGGCGTGGATTTTTTAAAGGTGTGCATTTTTTAAAGAATATTTTCTCAAGACTTATACAGGAGGCGTGGAGTTTTTAAAGAATTTTTTAAGGGTCTCTAAAAGGCGTGGATTTTTTAAAGAATATTTTTTCAAAGCCTATACAGAAGTCGTGGATTTTTTAAAGAATATTTTTTCAAGGTCTATACAGAAGGCGTGGATTTTTTAAAGAATATTTTTTCAATGCGTAGATTTTTAAAGACTATTTTTTAAGGCCTATACAAGGCATAGATTTTTTAAAGACTATTTTTCAAGGCCTATACAAGACATAGATTTTTTAAAGACTATTTTTCAAGGCCTATACAAGGCATAGATTTTTTAAAGACTTTTTTTTAAGGCCTATACAAGGCATAGATTTTTTTAAGATTTTTCAAGGCCTATACAAGGCATAGATTTTTTAAAGAGTATTTTTCAAGGCGTGGATTTTTTAAAGACTATTTTTCAAGGCCTATACAAGACATAGATTTTTTACAGACTATTTTTCAAGGCCTATACAAGGCATAGATTTTTTAAAGACTATTTTTGAAGACCTATACAAGGCATAGATTTTTTAAAGACTTTTTTTCAAGGCCTATACAAGGCATAGATTTTTTTAAGATTTTTCAAGGCCTATAAAAGGCATAGATTTTTAAAGACTATTTTTCAAGGCCTATACAAGGCATAGATTTTTTAAAGACTATTTTTCAAGGCCTATACAAGGCATAGATTTTTTAAAGATTTTTCAAGGCCTATACAAGGCATAGATTTTTTAAAGAGTATTTTTCAAGGCGTGGATTTTTTAAAGACTATTTTTCAAGGCCTATACAAGGCATAGATTTTTTAAAGACTATTTTTCAAGACCCATACAAGGCATAGATTTTTTAAAGACTATTTTTCAAGGCCCATACAAGGCATAGATTTTTTAAAGACTATTTTTCAAGGCCTATACAAGGCATAGATTTTGTAAAGAAGGTTTTTTCAAGTCCTATACGAGGCATAGATTTTTTAAAGAATAATTTTTCAAGGCCTATACAAGGCATAGATTTTGTAAGGAATATTTTTTCAAGGCATATAGAAGACATAGATTTTGTAAAGAATATTTTTTCAAGGCATGTATTTATATGCTTGAGAAAATAGAGAGTCCAATAAACTTCTGAGAAATCTCCAAAATTGAAAAAATCAACCAATTACATTCATCTTTCTTCGAACCAACATTCTTCCATTGAAATAACACAAAAAATTGAAATTGGTAATTGAGATATGTTTGCTAATAATCGAATTCTGCCAAACATTCCATTTCTTCATTCGGTATTTTTTAATTAACAACCTTACCAAAACGACAACATTTGATACCATTTTTGTCTCTTGTTATGTTTTTTTTTTAAATTTTCTTTGATCTAACCTTGCCAGAACATCTACAATTTCAAAAAAAAAAAATAACAACAAACATTTTTTTTCTCTTTTCCTTTCATATTCGTCACACTTTGATCCCACCATCCCGCCACTGAAGGACATTGATTACGATGGATTTCGGCGTTTTCTGGATGCCTTTCTTGATTGTGAAACCCCCACAGAATTGGCCCAGCATTTGTTTGTTTCGTTCCTTAAGGCCAATGTCAACAACATACATTTGCAGGGCAGGACACTCAATCAGATGGCGGCCATCAGCAGTACAGCGGCCTGTGCTCCAGTCACGGCGCACACCAAAGGTAATCAAAGAAGAAGAAAAAACAGAAAACTATTTCTTCGAAATGTAATAAGAAAATGGCCCTTGGGCTTTTGGAGGGATATAGGGAAATTCTTACGGGAGTTAACACTTCAAATTTAACTTGTTAAGGATTCTCAATAAAATATCCTTTCAATGTCACATTTCAAGTGGTATCTCCCCTGATCTTATGAATCATAAATCATATTTAATTTTTAGTGTTTTTTTTTTTTTTCTTCCTCTTACCAAATTCTTACTCATTACTCTTTTTCCATTTCTCTGTGTGTATATCCCCAGGCTCAATACCGAATATAAGTAGTATTGTTGAAATTGGAACCTCGGCCACACCACCAGCAACAGAAACCCGCACCAGTTTTGTGGATAAATTACACCATGGCATTACCGATAAACTTCATTCATTAAGTGGCCATTTAACACATGACGCCAGTAAGACAGGTAAGACTTGTTATAGGAAAAACACCTCCCCTCTTCCCCTCCCTCGAAGTGATGGTCACTTATATGACAAATGTTCGATGTGGGGGAAAAATACCTTGACAAAGAAAATGCCACTTAATTTTAATCGTTTAAAATTGCTTAATTAAAAGCATACGTCGTGCTAAAAAGACAGTGGTTTGAGAGGGCGTATTGGAAGCGGAATTTCGTGAAAAAATATCTCTTTAATTCTTCGAAAAAAAAATATTAAACAAAATCTATCTTGTGAATTATTGAAAAATATTTTTTTAATCCACGCCACGTGAATTATTGAAAAAAAATTTAGACCCCTACAAAATATTTTTTACAAAATCCACACCTTGAGTAGACCTGTGGTACAGGGTATTATGTCTTTGTGCATATGTTTGTAACAGGCAAAAGGAAACGAGATAGACACATGGTTCCTTTTGAGAATATGAATAGAATCGCATTTTAAGTCGATTTATACAAGTCCTTCCATCCGTCCGTCCGTCTCTCTGTCTGTCTTTCTGTCGGTCCATGTTAAATTGTGAACAAAGTACGGGTCGCATTTATGATCCGAATTGGATGAAAATTGGCACAGGTCTCTTTTTTGGCCCAAGGACGAACCCTATTGAAATTGAGAAAAATCGGTTCAGATTTAGATATAGCTCCCATATATATTTTCATCCGATTTAAGGTAATTGGTGCACCAAAGTCTCTATATATCTTTCGATTTGCACGAAATTTGGCATAGCGTAATGAATTAGGTCTAGAATGATGTCTTAAGTTTCCTGAAAATCGGTCCAGATTTAGATATAGCTCCCATATATACAGTTTCGTCCGATTTAATGTAAATGGCGCACCAAAGTCCCTATATATCTTTCGATTTGCACGAAATTTGGAACAGCGCAATGAATTAGGTGTAGAATGATGTGTGTTAAGTTTCGGGAAAATCGGTCCAGATTTAAATATAGCTCCCATATATATTTTCATCTGATTTAAGGTAATTGGTGCACCAAAGTCCCTATATGTCTTTCGATTTGCACGAAATTTGGCATAGCGTAATGAATTAGGTCTAGAATGATGTGTGTTAAGTTTCGGGAAAATCGGTTCAGATTTATATAAAGCTGCCATATATATTTTCTTCCGATTTTATGTAAATGGTGCATCAAAGTCCCTATATATCTTTCGATTTGCACGAAATTTGGCATAGCGTAATGAATTAGGTCTAGAATAATGTGTGTTAAGTTTCGAGAAAATCGGTCCAGATTTAGATATAGCTCCTATATATATTTTCTTCCGATTTAATGTTAAAGGTGTATCAAAGTCCCTATATATTTTTCGATTTGCACGAAGTTTGGCATAGCGCACTTAAATGAGTCTAGAACGATGTGTGCTAAATTTCGTGAAAATCGGTTCAGATTTAGATATAGCTCCCATATATATTTTCGTCCGATTTAAGGTAAATGATGCACCAAAGTCCTTACATATCTATCGATTTGCACGTAATTTGGAACAGCGTACAGGATTAGGTCTAGAATGATGTGTGCTAAATTTCGTGAAAATCGGTTCAGATTTTGATATAGCTCCCATATATACAGTTTTGTACGATTTAATGTAAATGGTGCACCAAAGTCCCTATATATCTTTCGATTTGCACGAAATTTGGCTTAGCGTAATGAATTAGTTCTAGAATGATGTGTGTTAAGTTTCGGGAAAATCGGTCCAGATTTAGATATAGCTCCCATATATATTTTCTTCCGATTTTATGTAAATGGTGCACCTAAGTTCTTATATATCTTTCGGATTTTGATATAGCTTCTACATATATATTTTTGTCCGATTTAACGCCAAATTGACACAAATTTTGCACAACATACTGAAGTTAGTATAACCTAGAGGTAGGATATTAATGCTTCAACAAGGTGGGTCCAATCGGCACAAAACATGGCACTACGTACTGAAGTTACTATAACATAAGAATCAACCAAAGTGGTGAAGGGTATCATATAGTCGGCCCCGTCCGACTTTACTACTTTCCTTACTTTTTTTTGAAAAACTTTTTTGCTCACCTCCATTTTTTTGCTGTTGTTGTCGTGCTTGTTTTTGTATTGTAATTAACTTCATCTTTTGTTCCTCATACATCTCTCAAACCACTGTGTATTTAACACCAAACGAAATAAAAATAAATTTCGAAATGAAACTAAAGAAGCGTGCTAACGAACCAAAAAATACAAAAAATAAAATAATAACAAGAACAAGATCAGATATACGTATAAATCTGCAATCCCGGTTATCGGCCATCTTGTGTATTGTTTTTCATGATTTAATTGGCTTAAAGTTTCAACATTTTTAATCGCATCTCTTTGCTTACATTTCTTTCTTCTCCTTCTTCTGTTATTTTTTACATCTGCATACGTACACACACATACATATTTATTACTCCAATGTGTCCGTGTGTGTGTGTGTGTGTGTGTGCGAATGGATATTCATTTGCAATGTGAACGTCTCTGCATCTCATCATGACAACGATAACAACTACACCATGTACCGAACACCATTGTCATTATGGTTATCTCCTTCACGTGCTTCGTGTGTGTGTATGTGTGTGTCTTTTGTGATGATGCTGGGTGTATTGGTGTTGCCTGTAATATCATCATATGGATCCTCCACATCATTGTCTCCATCCGCTTGATTATCTTGGCATCCAATGGCACGACGACACCAAACCATCATCATCATCGCGGCCATGAATCTGAATGCAGGCAGTGTTCATCCAATGGTTACAGTTACACCAAGTCCCATGGCAGCATTTCAAAATACCACAACAACAACGTCGTCGTCGCTGATGAGTTCTGGTGGAGGTGGTGGTGGTGGTGCCGCCGCACCAACACCGGGCAGCCATGGTAATTCACATAGCAGCGGCGGTAACATGACAACGGGTAATTTTGGTACAGGAAGCGGCCGTGGTCCCATAATGATACCCAGTGGAGGTGGTGGTGGTGGGAGCGGGAGTGCCAATGCACGGCATTCCACCGATTCAAGCCCTTCACATTCACAGACTGCTGCTGCTGCAGCTACCAATCATTCGCAAATGTCACGCAACTCATCGAAAAAAAGTAACAATTCGGTCAATTGCAAAATTGAGGGTAAGTAGTATCGAAATTTTCCAAATTTTTTTAATTTCATAGCATATATGTGTGTGTGTGTAATTCTATATGTGTGTGAATATGTGTAAAATAACACAACCATAAATAATCAATAAAAAACCTTGAAAATTTGGATTTTCATGGGCTTTGAAAAAATAAATGTGAATAAATCATCACCTTCAGTGGGACCTGAAAAATATTCTTTAAAAAATAAACGCCTTAATTAGGCCTTGAAAAAACATTCTTTTGAAAAATCCAAGCCTTGTATAGCTCGTGAGCGGAGCAGTATAGTCGGACGGGGCCGACCATATGATACCCTACACAACTTCCACGAAAATATAACTTTCTGTGGTTCTATATTCTGAGCTTGGGCCATATTTGCATCCTCTCGACCGTCTAGAGGTCAACAAATATTACCAATACAGTAGATATCGGATATAAGAAACTCAAAAAAGCCGGAGATTTCTTTCTTATATGCGTTTTTTTTCTTATATGGAATTATCGGATATAAGAAAGTATAAGCTCGGTATTTTTGATAATCTTTCTTATATGCGATTTTTTCTTATATGAGATGTGCTTATATGCGATATCTACTGTATTCAGTGCAGCCCTTCTAATTACTTGTCCAGATTCCCTTTACAGTGGGTTGTGTTGTGATCGACTCGAAAACACACACAAAAAAATAAGTTTTCGGTCCACTTCATCCAATATTATTATCTGATCATAACCGAAAATTATAGGCGTTGTCCTTGACCATACCTGGATACTCAATGAAAATTTCAAAGCGATCAGCGCAATATTTCCGCCCTATAATGTGGTAATGGGTTACTAAATAATTGGTACCAAATTAAAGGTCAACCACTTCTCTTGGATATAATATTAACCTCTCGGGTCAATGTCCTTCAGGATATACGCCCCAGAATAAAAATGCTGTAATTTTTCACACAAAAATCAGGGTCCATTTTACCCGCTAAATATTGACCGATGTTTATCAAAACATGGCATGCTTTTTCTTTTAACAGATCCTCTTCTCCTTGTAAAAAAACCCGATGTTTGGGCCATAATTGCGGCCTCAGAAGCGAACAGAAAAACGGACAAAAATTAAGTATTTGGTCCATTTCATCCCCTAAATATTAACCGATCTTTACCAAAAACAATAGGGGTCTTCATTGCCCAGAACCCATCCTACATGCAAAATTTCGTGAAGATTGGTCCATAACATATTTTTTATAAATCCACGCCTTTAGTGGGAACTTGAAAAAATATTTTTTATAAATCCACGCCTTTAGTGGGAACTTGAAAAAATATTTTTTATAAATCCACGCCTTTAGTGGGAACTTGAAAAAATATTTTTTATAAATCCACGCCTTTAGTGGGAACTTGAAAAAATATTTTTTATAAATCCACGCCTTTAGTGGGAACTTGAAAAAATATTTTTTATAAATCCACGCCTTTAGTGGGAACTTGCAAAAATATTTTTTATAAATCCACGCCTTTAGTGGGAACTTAAAAAAATATTTCTTTATATAAATCTACGCCTTTATTGGGAACTTGAATAAATAATTCTTTTTATAAATCCTCGCCTTTAGAGGGAACTTAAAAAAATATTTCTTTTTATAAATCTACGCCTTTAGTGGGAACTTGAAAAAATATTTTTTATAAATCCACGCCTTTAGTGGGAACTTGCAAAAATATTTTTTATAAATCCACGCCTTTAGTGGGAACTTGAAAAAATATTTTTTATAAATCCACGCCTTTAGTGGGAACAAAAATATTTTTTATTGAAAAAATATTTTTTATAAATCCACGCCTTTAGTCCACGGGCAAAAATATTTTTTATAAATCCACGCCTTTTGGGAAAAAAATATTTTTTATAAATCCACGCCTTTAGTGGGAACTTGAAAAATATTTTTTATAAATCCAAAATATTTTTTATAAATCCACGCCTTTAGTGGGAACTTAAAAAAATATTTTTTATAAATCCACGCCTTTAGTGGGAACTTGAAAAATATTTTTTATAAATCCACGCCTTTAGTGGGAACTTGCAAAAATATTTTTTATAAATCCACGCCTTTAGTGGGAACTTGAAAAAATATTTTTTATAAATCCACGCCTTTAGTGGGAACTTGAAAAAATATTTTTTATAAATCCACGCCTTTAGTGGGAACTTGAAAAAATATTTTTTATAAATCCACGCCTTTAGTGGGAAATTGAAAAAAAAATTTTTATAAATCCACGCCTTTAGTGGGAACTTGAAAAAATATTGTTTATAAATCCACGCCTTTAGTGCGAACCTTTAAAAATATATTTTTTTTAAATCCACCCCTGTTTGGTCCTTGAAAATGAATATTCTGTTATATTTCTACGCTACATCAATCATGTCCATGTTTACCCACGATGTTTCTTTCCTACGGATGTCATTTGTCCTCCCCGGACTTTTGTAGCGAAATTTAATTAAAAATTCAATTTTTTTCTGTTTAGCAATCTATCGTTCGTTCGTTCGATCAATCAATCAACTAATTAGTTCCGCTGTCAAGCTAATATTTAAATATGGGAACAGAAAAATAAACATACACACACACACAAAATTCGATTTTGTATAATTCGGTGGGACACATTTAATTTGAATTTTCCAAACATCGGATGGATGACTGGGTAGCAATTTTAGCTTCATATCAATTTTCAAATAAATATGTAAATAATTGCCAAAATGTCACAGTCGTCTGAGCAATGTTTCGGAATTCATTTGAAACCAAGGAAGCCATTAACATGGCAAACGGAAAAAGACGTAGCTAATTAACTTTGAATACAAAATATATTTAAATTTATTTTAGATTGTGTGGTTATGGGTTATTCATGACGTATTATGAATGTTAATTCAAATCATTGATATCTTCGATGTATAGATGGCGCTAGTCTGATTAATATCTTATTTTTTGTTTCTTGTCGTCGATGATAGTTCATAAAATCTCGACTGATATAAAATCTATAAAACCGAGCTAGTTTTTAAATTATTTTTTTATTTTCAAATATAAAAACGTCACAGATGTAGTAATTAGTGCCAAAGCCCAAAAGTATGCACTATTAAATGGACTTGAATGCACATGTAGAGGGAGCTGGTTATACGACCACTTTCAATATACATATCTTACTTCCTAGCTTCACATAATCTTTTGCTTTAAAAATCAACAATAATTTTTGGCTAAAAGAAGAGATTACATAGACTATTATTAGCGCCCAAAGATATGCTCCAGCAAATGAATTGAAATCTATGTGAAGAGGGAGCTAATTTTATCCTAAGCATTAAATTGAATTCGAAGTGTAGATGGACTGTTTGCATGATAATCGGCTGCAATACTGGTAAAATTTAGATATTAATTTCTGCAAATAAGAACTACTAAATTGAAGAAATTAAACGAGAATGTGTGTACCATTGCTTAGTGCCTAAAGACGCCCTCTTTATTTCAGTTAAAATGCAAAGAAAAAAATGTCGCGTCTTTTCTCTGGAAGAGACCATATTGGTCGAAAATATTTTTATAAATCAGTCCTACAAAAATAATCTAAATTATTCCTAACTATATCGTTTTCGATATTAAATTTGTATAATATGATTTAGCACCCAAAAGAATACTGTTGTCCGAAATATAGAGGGAGCTGCTTATATGATTATTCCCATCTGTTTCCAATGATGACATATTTTCTTGTAGCATCTGTAATGGCGAAAAATATTTTATACGTCCGGTTTTACTAATTCCTAAAAATCTCCACTCTTATCTTATAAAAAAAGTTTCGATTAAATTTTTCTAGAGCCCGAATCATTAATTTTCAAGTACAGAGGGCGCTCTTTATTGAGTTTGAAAGCGTTTTGTTTGGAAATTTGATTCAATCTGAAAAACAAAAAACAGAAACTATAGTTGTATATATCGAATATATGATAGCCAAGCACTCTGATCTCGTTCGGTTGGGTGCGGTGTAGAAATTATGTCTGTTCGTTTCTAGCTTACAAAAAAAAAACATTCCGCCTAAAAGTATGCAAGATGTACAACCAATAAATTGAAAAGTCAAATATAGATGACACTTCTGTATAATAATTTATGTCAATGAACAAAATTGTTTATACCTGAACTTTTTGGCTTTATGTATTAAGCTAAAAAAATAAAGGATTATGTACAGATGACGCTTTTTATACTCTCCACCCTGTGTGTATATTAAATTTGTCATTCCTGTATAAAAACCTGTGATACGCCATAAAATACTCACATTAACCTAACAGATCAACATGTACCTAAGTAAAAAAAAAAAAATATTGTAATATAACCTTTAATAAAAGTCATTGTGGTTTCTAAAATATCGTGTTCCTAAAAGTATGCACTATGCTAAAAAATTAATAAAATCACAGATGCAGATTGAGCTTTTTATATTCTCCATCATGTGTGTATATTAAATTTGTCTTGCTATATAAAAACCTTGGATACGCCATAAAGTACACACATTTTTTGGGCTGAAAAACATTATATGCCGATTTATCGATGTCGAAGGTTTTGGCTGCCTCCTTCATCGCAAAGAACTAAAAAAAAGAAAATCCTAAAAGTATGCACTGTGCAAAAAAAAACAAATTTTAAAAATAATTTATAGATGGCGCTCATTGTATTATATTTGGATTATTTAATAATTAATTTTAAATTTGTTAATCAAAAAATGTATGTTCCATATGGGGTTAATGTAGGTAGGAACATAAATCCACGATGAAACAATATTAAACAATATTTAATCAGTATTGCAAAGGTAGGCGTTCCTTTTTATTAAAATAATATAGAACCTAAAATTATGCACTGTGCACAAAAACAATTTTTGAAAAAATCATATAGATGGCGCTAATTGAAATATATTTAAATTATCTTCACCCTAACTTGATCTCTTATGAGGTGAAGGCTAATTTAAATTTTCTAATCAAAAAATCTATGTTCCATATGGGTTTAATGTAGGTAGGAACATAAATA